CCCGAGGCCAAGGGGCAGCCTCGGGCTCCTGGGGACTCAGCAGAGAGGGGGGCGGGACTGAGTCGGAGAAACCCGAGTCCAAAACTTGAAAGGAAGTGGGTGGCAGTGAGGGGGGAGGGTGACAGCTGCAAAGGAGCCTAAAAAAGCTGCTGGGTGGGGGCAGCCGAGGAGCCTGATGCCTCTCTCATGGGGCAGGCTCCACATCCCTCCCTCCTCCTCCCTGTGACCCGTCACCCAGCTCTCCTCCAAGACCCCGCCTGGACTAGCCCCGCACAATTCTGCACACAGCCCCGCCCCACACAGCCCTGCTCCGCACTGCCTTTGGGGAGCTCTGCCCCCAGAGTAGAAAGGGGGAGGCTGGAGACAGGAGGCTGCAGGAGGAGGGGGCAGAGCAGGGCCCACCAAGTTAGATGGAGGGGAGGGAAGGAGAGACCCCACAGGACTGGGGACAGAGATGGGCGGGGAAGGAGGGCCGTGTGGAAATGTCATCCTTGGTTGAAAGACAGTCAGCTTCTCCTCTGGTTCCCATGGCTCTTTGGTTTTGTTTTTGTTTTTTTGAGGTGTGTGTTTTTTTAATACATTTTTATTGATTTCAGAGAGAGAAGGAGAGGGAGAGATAGATCAACAATGAGAAAGAATTGATCAGCAGCCTCCTGTACACCCCCTACTGGGGACTGAGCCCACAACCCAGGAATGTGCCCTTGACCAGAATCAAATCCAGGACCCTTCAGTCCGCAGGCCGTGGCTCTATCCACTGAGGCAAACCATCTAGGGTGACCCATGACCTATTTAAAACCACTGCAGTAGGCTGAGCAGGGGTCTTACCACGATAGTGTTATCTGATAATGAGGGCGTCTCCTTATGTTGGGTAATTGGAACTGAAGAGAAGTAAAGACACACCCATGGAGCCTGCAAAGGGTTTCCACACACATGATGCAACTTACTTCATGTGGCAGCTGAAGAGGCTGAGCAGAGCCTTGGAAGGACATGAGGTTTCTAAGACAAGGGACTGGAAGGAAAGTGCGTGCTGAGCATTCCGCGCTGTAAGTTACAATCTATATATATAAAAGCCTAATATGCTAAGTGTCCGACCCAGAGGTCCACCGACTCGTTGCTATAACGTGCATTGACCACCAGGGGGCAGATGCTCCAACCGGTAGGTTACCTTGCTGCTGGGGTCCAGCCGATCAGGACAGGGCAAGATGAGGCCAGACACAGCCTGGGCCCTCCTGCGGTCCCTCTATGGTCCCTCCCCAGCCACCGGCCCCAACAGCCCCAATCGGGACTGGGTGAGACAGTACTGATCGGCCCCAACCCCCAACCGCTGGCCAGGCAGAGGGACCCCACCCATGCATGAATTTCGTGTACCGGACCTCTACTTTATTATAATAGCCTATATTGTCACAATAATTTACATTTCTACCAACAGCTTTTGAAAGCACCTTTTCCATACTCTTCCCTGGCCTGGATGTCATAACTCTTAAAGTTTTGCCCATCTGACCTGTCACCACGCTTCCTTATTGTTACTTTAACTTGCATTTCCCTAAAGGTGGTCAGTCACCTTTTCGTGTTTATCCAACACCTGGGCTCTCCTTGGTCGTGTTTCCTGCTGGTTTCTCTGAAGGTCTATCTAGCTCCATATTCTTTCTCTAGTATCTGCTGAGCTCTGGCACAGAACTGAAGTCCCTACGACAGCTGTCCTTGGGAGAGGCTCCCTCCCGGTTTTGGATTTTTATTATGTGTTTGTATTTGTCTCAATTTTTCTGCGTGTGTGTTTTTGGTTCCTAAAGGACTGTTACAGCTTCCTTATGCATCACTCCTTTTATTAGCACATAATGACCCTCTTTGATTTAATGCTTTGCAACTTAAATTCTGTTTTGTGGACTTTAAGTTCCCCTTTCTTCCTGCTTTTACCTGCCTTACTTACATATAAGAAACAAGAAGGAAAGAGAGAGAGAGAGTGAAGATACATACTTTGAGGGTGAGCTTCTACCCGTTAGCAGTCACTGTCATAAGCCACTGCAATGGACTGACTGCTTAGGACAGAAAAGGGGCCCATGGAGACACACCAGCCTGGGGAGAGGTCGTTTGTCTTTCCCGCTGCCTGCACCCTGCACACCTCGTCAGGTCAGACAGGCCTCAAGGAAACTGCCGGGAGGCCCCACAATGTCTGTCCTTGGGGACGGGATGGACAGACAGAAGCAGGACTCAGGAGGAAGGAGCCTAGAGTGCTATGTGGTCTCTGGGGGTGCAAGCAGCACTCCTTTCTCCCCTGCTCCTCACACAGGCATGGAGTGGGCGTGCACTAGGAGACTTGGGGGCCTCTTTCCTGAGCCCTCAGTCCTGCCTCGGTTTCTAGGAGATGAGAACTGTCCCTCCATCCCTCACTGGAGACAGACCCAACACCCTCTCGCTCGGGGCACTGAGGTCTCCAATGCCCTGGATGATACACAGTGTCCCTAGAACTCATGAGTTTAATCATTATACTCTCAGTATACAATTATAAGAGAATGGGGATGAAGGGAGTACAGAGATATTCAAGTAGTATGTCCCAAAACTACTCAATTTTAACAACGAAATACAGAGTTTCTGGTAGCCAAAGCAAAAAGGGAAGGAATTAAGTTAC